TTAATATTTAATATTTAATATTTAATATTTAATATTTAATATTTAATATTTAATAATATAATAATATTTAATATTTAATAATTTGATATGCCAAAGAATCAATTAAATTATGATTCAAAATATATATATATGAAATATTGTATTAAAACAAAAATTTCTTTTTGGTTTATGCCAAGGAATCAATTAAATTATTATTCAAAATATATATATGAAATATTGTACGTAAAAAAAATTGTTTAAATACATGGTTCAAGTGGTTCCGCCAAACAACATTTAGTCTTAATAAAGCTGATTGCAGCATATTAAGTTACTTTGGCATACATAAGCTTATTCTAGATTTTTCTTTCTGGCTGAATGAACTTTAAGCGGATTTTGCTCTATTCAATCGACTACGTACCGCAGGGTATGACAAGGCTTTGATTTCTGCTGCCCGCCAGCGATGACAAATCCCAGGCGCTGGAGTTTGTGCCAGCTATGGTTGGGCGCTGTTGTTGTTGTATTTGCAGATGCTGCTGCTGCTGTTGCTGTTGTTGCTGCTTCTTCTTTTCAATAGCATTACGTACAATTTTATCAGCAAGCTCCTTGCTGCCGTAGAGATTGCCGCACTCGACCGGATGCTCATCGCTCCCATCCGTACAATCGTCATGCTTGTCGCACATTTGACGCTGCGGCACGCACTGTATGCCATTGTTGCACGCAAAGCTGCCCGTGGGGCAAGGTCCTTGATAACAAAAACACAAATAAGGAGAAAAAAAATAATTAATAACGCCCAGCACAATATCGAAGAAGTCGATTGACCTGAATCGACACATACGCTTCATATTTTTGTATTACTCATACGTCACGTTGGCCACACAAACGTTCGCATATGAGTAATCTCACAACTGGATGCGGAACTTGTTTTGTCCGCATTCACTCATCTCTAAAGAATTGCTTTCGGAGTTCACAAAAGTCACATAAAACAACAAATCAATTAAAATTAATGTACAAAAAACTTTTGATTGCTTTTAGTTATAATTCGCTCTCAGCTTTGTTCTCTTCTTGCCTGCATTAAAATTTCATGTACTGCAATGCTAAAGTTAGTGTATTAATTAGCATTTGCTTAGATGCTGCTTAGATGCCTTCCCACCTATTTGTCATCAGCATTGGCAATTTCAGCGGCACTTTAACATATTTATGCTCTGTCTGCCGTCTCTAGTGAATGACTAACAAAAGTCATCAACAATTTGATGAGCTCGCCGAGCACCTAGTGGAGGTTTGTGTCATGCAATCAAATTTAATAATACTAGATTATGTGTCTTAATAACATCGGGGAATTCAAATTGAAAATTATTTTGTATATTGGAAATTTTGAATACGAAATAATGTTGATATAAAGCTGGAAATTGTACATTTAAAAGCTTTTATGTATTTTAAATATTTCTAAAAACTTGGATTGATTGAATTTCTTCTATATAGATTTCAGATTTGATTATGGCGAAATATATACATATATTTTTAAGAAATTCACATTGGAATTGGGTATATTTATATAATTGATAATTAATAGTTAAATTAAATTTTATAATAATCAATACAGCTAACTTATACATTTGATAGCAATTAAAACAAACTTTTTTAAATTATTTATTTTGACCATCATCATATTCATCTTCTTTCATTGACTGTAGATTTGATTAATTTTGCCTTCAGTAAATTAACTTAAATGGCTTGTACAAGTTCCCTATGCATATCCTTTTATTCCTGCTCTGCGCTTTTGTGTTCAATCTGCGCAATCATTGGGGAGACTCTCATTTAATTAATGACAAGGTTTTGCACAACAATCAAATCAAATTGCGTCACTGTGGATAGATTTCGCTGAGCATAACAGCTGTTATATCCATGAATCTGATCCTGTGTATGTGTGTATCCGTGTGCGTGTGTGTGTGTGTGTGTGCTAGGCACGCACTATGCATTAGTTGCAAACACTTTTCATTTCATTTTCACTTTGTGCCAGCAGCTAGAGCGCATAAATACAAATCTAGGCGGCATTTGGCTATTTGTCTGACTCGGGCTTAGGTCGCAGCCAGCCAGCCGGGGGGGGATCAGCTGATTTAATATAATAATTCGTATATCCCTGATAATGGCCCTTAATAAAATACACAGACGCCACGTTAAGCCAAAATATGACATTCATCAAACGTTCCGTTCGGCTCTGGCTATGGCTATGGCAAATCAATAGGCAAATTGGCTGTGGGCATACGAAAATCTGCCAACACGATGCAAAAATTGTGAAAATGTGAAAATTGTGAAAATGTTTATGCACATAAAACAAAATACAGCCCAGAAACAGGCAGCAGACGCTTGTAAAATAAATGTGAAAATTGTTTTTGCTCGCTGGCAAAGATTGTTTTTGCGTTTCTGAGTGTTTTTTTTTTTATTTTTTTTTTTTTGTCGATGCTCTCTAAGTTCACAAATTACTTTTGAATACTTCAGAGCGCTTCAATTTATATGCGATATGCGAGAGTTGAGCCGTATTTCTGCCATTTGATTTAGGTTTATGTCAAAATAGAATAGAAATCAATAGATAGTTTATAAAGTTTAAGGCAAAAAGCATTCAATTTCAAACTTTTTACAGTCTGTTTGTTTTTGATTGAAATTAAATTAGAAAAGAAAAGATTTAGCAAGAGCGTGATATTAAAGCCTATAATGTTAACCCAAGAGATTTCAATTCCAAGCAAGTTTGTGATGAAACAAAATGTGTCAAGTTAACTTACACCAATTTCACCAATGTTTTATCTAATGTTAATTAACAAGTAATAGATAGGCTATAAATATTAGTTGAATTCAAACATTATTCGACATTTATTTTCCTCTTAATGTTTTATATTATATTTAAAATGATTAGTAAGTTAATTAATTATAGCATCCGTATAGCTAGCGGACTTTTATCTATGATGGTTTTATAATATATCCTGTACCTATTATATACACGAAGATTTTGTTCTCATGCATCTCAGTCATGTCTACTTACCCAAACTTAAATAGAAGACGAGACCCGATAGAAGCAAAAGAATTGTCATAAAGCAAATGCCAGCAGCTATGCTCCGTCCATAAACCATTTTGCAAACTATTTTTGTTATATGTATATATACGGTGGGACTTTCCTCTGTTTTTTTTTTTTATTTTATTTATTTTTTTATTTATTATTATTAATTTCTTTTTTGTTAGCCTGGGCGGAGTTCATATTTTGTACGATGCGCAGTGGTTTTGCCATAGCTCACACTCTGAGGACTCTTGCGTCTTTCACCGCAGTTTTTGCCACTTCATTGAGCTAATTTAAATTTGCATAAGATGTTGCCTGTAAATATTATGCTGTGTCTTTAATATTTAACACTTGAAGTGCTTTAATTAGTTTTATATTAGCAAGCAGTAGTAGTTAGTATTTGTATCAAATACTTGACGTCGGGAGCCGTCTATTTCGCTGACCTCTTAATCTTCTTCTTTAAGTTCTCCTAATGAAGCAGAGACTGTGCCCTTTGTTATGTTTTAATTGAAGCTTAACATTTCTAATCTGTCTGAAAATTAAATATATTTGCTAAGCTGCAGGCACTTTTTAATCCGATTGGTATTTTCGTAATAATTCTGTGATGCTGCAACGATATGTGCCAGCATTTTATATCAATTTATTTTCTCTGCGCTTGCAAAAAATAAAAATAAATAAAAAGAGGAAAAGAAAAGAAAGCGAAGGCGATGGATGCTTAAACATAAAGGACAACATATATTATCAAATAAAAATATGTCAACAGGCAGTTAAAATGTTTACAATCCAGAGACAGCTCTTAAGAAATGAAAAAAGAAGATATATATTAATGGCCTCACCAAACAGATTGAGACTTGTCAAGAACATAAAAACATTTCGTGCATGTGAGAGCAGTTTAAATAGAAAACGGAAATAAATATATGGCTGAACTTAAAAGCAGTAACTGAATAAATTATCAAACTTCATATAGACTAGAAAAGCTATTTATTTTGTATAATATGGTATAGTCATTATCGAGTCTCAATTTATACTCTTTTTAGCCACTTGGGTCGCTTGATGAAATTCAGTTTATGAAAAATAAGTAAAGAAATGCTTGCCGCCTTATCAATAGGCGCAAGGCGCCCTGGCCTGGCCCCATGTAGACAGATCATAATTTCCGCAAAAGGTCGATATTCGGCCCAAACGTATGCCAAAATGTTGCCTCATTATCTCAATCATCACAATTGAACAGCATTTGGTGTGGAAAATGTCGTAAAAACGTAAGATTTTCCTTTATTTGACTGTGAGTTTGGGTGTGTCTCTGCCCCCCGTTTTACTTTTCTGTGGCCTATTATATTCCTAGGTTTTTCTTCTATTCTCTTCGTTTTATATTTATTTTTATTGTATTTGCCTGCGTTGCCTGCGGCCACTTAATGCTTTTGACCAAGTCAAAACGCACATTTCAAGATGGTGTCAATGCGATAGACGCCGGAAAAAAGTAAAAGCAAGGAACCCTGCCGGGCGACAATTCAATTGAGCGGCAAAACGCGCACTGCAAGAGGCCGGCGCGTTTTAAAACGCACGCGAAACGCGAGCACGGTTTGTTGACGCGTGTCAACTTACAAAGAGACAAGACAAGGATAAGACAGGACTAAACAAGTCCGCGCACAGCGGGCAACTGAAACAGACAACAGCAATTGTTGCTGATTTTGTTTAGCTCCGGCGGCTGCTGCCGCTGCTGCTGCTACTGTTGCTGCTGCAGCGAAGTCCTTGCTTCGTGTCCTGTTCGGTCTATACTGACCGTCGCGGCGTATTCGTATTGTGGCGAGCGATTTGGGGCAGGAGTTGGCAGCAGAATGGGACGGAACGCAGCTACATTTAATAATAGAAGAAATTTACGTTCCAGTTTATGCAGAGTCCTTCAATATTGGGCAACTGCTCCCGCCATCCACTTATTAATAAAAACGAATGCAGCATTTCTGTTTTTGTTTTCGAGTTTTTGAAGAGCGAACAAATCAAATTATAAAAACTGCTTAATTTATTTACTAATAGTTATAATGCAATTAGAATTTGTTCTAAAAATTGTTGTGTCTTTAGTTTAATTAATAGTTATTTACTTATGTATTATAAACATATAGTATGTATATTGCTGTGACATAGCCCTAAGCAAAAAATGCTTTTGCTACAAACGTTTTCTTTTTATATTGAATGTTTCTATAATTATATAAAATCGGAATGCATTTTGCAAAAAAAGCTACAAATATGCATTAAGTACTAATTGTTTAACACATTTCGCAATTTTCGACTATAGTTAAGCGTTTTCTAAACACTTTCCACGCGGAAACAGTTGACAACAAAGCAATTGCTAAATTTGTTCTTTTGCTAAAGCTGCGCTAAGTGCTAAGTACATATTTAATAATATTTATAAATATAATTCTATTTAGAATGGAATGGGTTATCGATCACTAACAGCACAACTTAAATGTTAAATCAAGGCGTCTTTTACAGTTTCGTTTCGTTTAGATTCAATTATTGCAACAATTTTCGATTTCTAATGGCGCATGGTGAATGATTGAAAAACATTTTATAGACTAGCAACAAAATATGTTCTATTCGTTAGGCATATTTCAAAGTTTAAAGTTAAACGAATCATTAGTTATAGCACAACAGATTAAGTACATATAAATTATAAACATAAATTTGTGGACTTGTGATTATCTTAAAATTCATCTAGTTGTATGAACGTTATTAAAATTTAGCGAAATTTCATTTGTGCACTAATAAATTATTATTGTGTGGTTTGTGTCTAAAAATTTGTAACAATTAACATTGCTTGAAGAGATCCATAAGGTATTTTCGTTTTGATTTCATTATTTAGTTTTATGTTTTAGAAGAAAAATATGCACTTTATCGTTGTAAATTTGTGTCCTTTGCAAATATTGTGATATATATATATAAATATATATTTAGAGTTCGCGCAGTATGCATACTAGATATGTAAATCATTTCCTTATCTTTTGTCTTTTGTTCCCCCAAATTGTTTGAGTGTAAAAAATATTTCGTTGCATTTAAATGTTATGCTGTCCCTTAAACCCAAACGCCGTGAGGGTTCTTGCTGGTGGGCACTGCCGTCTCCAGCTGTCGCGGAGAGCCGATAATGCGACGACTACTGCCCTGTTTATTGGGCCCTTCAAGCAGATGCTTGATCTCCTCGGTGGTGGTTACGGTCAGGCTTTGTAGATTTACCTCTTTCATTTCGTTGACAAGCTGCTCCACCTGTCGCTTCTTGTCGGCAATAGCATGTTCTATCATGAGCAACTCCTTTTTGAGATTATCAGCAGTTTTGTTCGATGTGTCCGTGTTGTGCAGTGCCTGATCAATATCACTTTGTATGCGCTCCATTTCCATAAGGAAGTCACGTTCCACAGTTTGTCTATAGTAAATATCAATGTATTACTGCAATTCCCATTGATCTCCATAATATGCTTACCTGTTGTTCTGCTGTTGCTGCTCCAGCTCAATGTCGTCCATCAGCAGACGCATTTTATTCTTGCACTGCAGCAGTTCCGTCTCGCAGTTGGCCAGCTTGGAGCGTAGCAATGCGATTTCTGACTTAAGTGTCTTCTCCTGCTGCTTGACCAGTTCGTTCTCTTCCTCAACGTACTGCAATGTCTGCAACTGTTCGCTGCCTTGACGAAATATTTGATCCGCTTTGGATATTTCTCTTGATATGACTTCCAACTCAATCGCATGATCACGCTCTCTGCTCTCCAGAAAAACGATTTCCGTATCAAACTGTAATTAGAATTAGAATTTAGTAAGCTTTGCTTATAGTTAGTTATATTGTCTAGAACCTTTTGTAGCTCCAATTGTTGTGCGGTAATTTTCTCTCGCTGAAACTTGATCAACTGCAACAGATCATTATATTGCGTGGCCTGAAACATGCTCTCGCCCTCATCCATGCACTGATTACTCGCATTGTTATTATTATTATTGTTGTTGTTGTTGTTGTGCGCCTCGTAGTCGCTGAGAAATGGATTTGTTGTAGAGGATGCATTGGATATGGTCTCAGCAGCGCTGCTGCTGGGTGGCAAGCGTGGCATCTGGCACATGGGACTGTTGCGAGGTGGCGGAGGATCACGATAAGGCGGTGGCACCAAAGCACCATTTGATGAAATTGTGGGCGTTTGCTTGTACAGCTCTGGTGAGTTGTTATTGTTGTTGTTGTTGCTGCTAATGTTGCTATTGACATAAATATCGCATAGATGCTCGTTGCTGTTATTGTTGTTGTTGCTATTGATATATTCATTCGGACTAGCGCGTCGCAGTTCATTGCTGGATTTGCTCAGCTGACTGTAAATGTGTTGATTGTTGTTGTTGTTGGCATTGATGTTGTTGTTGTTGTTATTATTGTTGTAGAAATCGGTATAATCATTCGAAGCGTTCGCATTGCTGCTGCTACTGCTGCTCATGTCCAATGGATTTGAGAGAGATTTCTCATGCTTGGGCAGTAATGGCACCGCTTTGTTGCATTGCGGCAGCAGTTGTTGCTGCTGCTGTTGTTGTTGTTGCTGCTGCTGATGCTGCTGTGGTATGCCTTTAACTATGCCAATGTTGTCAAATTGTTTGGCATCATAGCCGCTGTAAAAAGTAAATACGCGATTAAATATGCAAGTAAAACTAGTTTGCAATAGCTGAGATCGCTAAAGTCTAAGCTGATAATTGCTTAGTTGCTTTTCTAATGAATATGAGAAAGTAATCAGTAATCAGTAGAATTCTTCAGCTTTTCTATTAAATAGAAAAACTGTGTTTTTAAGCATACATAAACTCGGCTGTCGATGCCGATCGACTATGTCTGCAGAATTCTACATATTTTCTCCTTTTGCTTCTCACATTATTGCTTTAACCTTTTGTCAGTACGCACCCAAAACTTTTTTTCAGCTCTTTTGTTCGATATCCCAGTTCTACGCTCGACTTTTGTTTCTGTAATGGTGGCGGCGGTGGCAATTTGCTCTCAATACTGTTGTTGTTATTGCTGGGGCCCAGCGGCTTTTTTGTAGTCATGACTGCATAGTTGTTATTAGGCTGCGTCTGCTGCTGATGTTGCTGTTGTTGCTGCTGTTGTTGTTGTTGTGGCGTGGGCTGCTGCTGCTGTTGTTGTTGCTTGTTCTCGGATCGCTGCAATATAAATTGCACATCATTTGCATACTCGCCCCATTTGAGCAGTAGCTTCATCGGATTCTCATTGGGCGCGAGATGTCGCTCATTATTACGCCAGCGTTCGATTAGCGTAAAACGCCCCACTTTGCCTGTGGCATGAGCCAAGGCAAAAACGACATCCTGCAAGGAAAGACATACATCAATTAGATAGAGTTGCTGACATATATTGTATATATACGAGAAAACACAATTATCTTCTATTTAATACCCTTGCTAGCGCTTGGCCTTATTCGCTAATTAAAATACGTCAATATGGATTAAAAGCTAAGCGACTAATTTATTAATAAGCAGACAGGCAATCGAACCAGTTATATTTTTAGAGTATATAAACTTTGTAAGAACTGCGCACGTTTCATATTGATCGACACAATTATATTACACTTTTGGCAAGGGTATTAAAATCAATATGCTTAATACGTACCTGGCAGGTCGTGTTTACCGTTACACCACAAACAATACGCTGTATGCCCTCAACCCAAACTTTCAGCTCCATTTTGGATGTATAAAATTAATTAATTTTTGTGTTCGATTTTTTCGTTTCTGTTTTGTTCTTGTTGTTGCTGCTGCTGCTGCCAGAAAATTGCTACTAAAGTGGAGTCTAATTATTTCCAAACGCAGCGCAGCGCCGACGAAGCTTGAAATGCTGTCGCGAGGGCAGCGAAGCGTGCGCCTCGTTGCTGTTGTTGTTTTATTGTTGATAGAGCTGCGCCATGGCTCGAATGTGACTGATGTTGTTGATGTTGTTGATGTTGTTGTTGCTGTTGCTGCTGTTGCTGCTGCTGCTGCAGTACCAAATTGGGGGTGGAGCTGCACTTCCACTTTTGCTTCTCGTTGTCACGTTTGTTCCCTTTCTTTCTGCTTTGCTGCAGCTATTTTTCCCCAATTGCTTCTGCTGTCTGTTTGTGGCCGTCGCTGCTGCTTCACTTGCACTTATTTCTGGTTTTAGAGCGAGCGGGTGTTGCGGGTTGCAGGTGTATGTACGTGTGTGCCAGTATATGCTTTGCTTTGTGTATGTGTGCGTGTGTTCTGATTCACTTTTTTGTTTGTTTTTCACTTATTAATACTATTGTCTCTCAGCACACATTATTGTTCAATGTTGTATGCACCTTTCAGTCAGTTTATATATATTGTGCACGCACGATTTCTATAATTTTTATTGTTTTTAAAGCGAAAAACAAATGCACAATGCGCGCATTGTTGTTGGCATGCACTTGTACTCGATACCCGTAACAGGGCAGCACAGACATAAAACCAGGGCAGATAACTGTGCTGAATACGATATTCACACCTGTATTCGTTTGGCGCGCAGATAAATTCAAAATTATATCTATGTGTCTACAAAATCAAAGAAAATTAAATCATCATTTCACTTAAAAGTGTAAATATTATTGATATGAACTTTATTACAGTTAATGAAGAACAAACATAAAATGTCGATACATCGCATAATCAAAACAGTTTGCATACCCAGTGTATACATACCATTTGAACATATCAAATTGCTCATCGATAACTAGTAGTTTGATACTATGTATCGATAGAATATCAACAATTCTCTTCGCGAGCTGAAAGAAAACAATTGCAACTAGCGCAGTAACAGCGCAGCACTTGTAAAGGAAATTGTTTTCACACAGTTGTATTGATTTAGTGTGTACCACAAAGAATATAAAACTACTCAGTAAAGTTCTGCCGACGGGAACAACGACTACAATTGTTGCTCCCTTTGGGGCCAAGTGTTTCCACATCGCCTACCACCGCGTCCGTGTGTTCGTCTGTGCATTTGTGTGTGTGTGTGTTAGAGTGGAGCAGCAGCAAAAAAATGGCCAGTGAATGTTACACAGCTGCACAAACATGAACTCGAGTTAGGCCAACCAGATATAGCATCTGTTTTTGGGTGCAGACTTAGATACTAAGTATAAAGCATTTTAATTTCGGGGTGCAGCGGTCACAGCTGCTGTTCAGTTACGCTGCGTGTAAACAAAACAAAAGTCAAGAAGTGGAGCAGTGTGAGCCAAGTTAACAACAACAACAACAACAGCAACAGCACCAGCAACAACCACACTTATCACAATGACCAGTCGCAGTCGGGCTATATTAAATGTTAATCTCGATACGGTCATGGCCAACGATCCGTTGCGTGAGCTTTTCGAGGCTTGTAAAACAGGTGAAATAGCCAAAGTAAAGAAGCTGATAACACCACAAACGGTTAATGCACGCGACACAGCTGGACGTAAATCGACGCCATTGCATTTTGCAGCGGGTGAGTAAAACAAATCCTGTAGAAACACTAGCCCGCACCCAGTCCGACGCTCGACATGTTGCCAAACGTTGTAGGACTGATTGTCAGTGTTCAGTAGTTGTTCCCCTTTTTTCTCTTAAAATCTGGCAATTTTCTTGTTGCATATAATATCTTTCAGCGGGTGTCCTGGCCATTTGAAGATAACGTGTTTCTAGGTTGTTGTCTATTTTAAATTGGGCTTGGGCATAGGCTTATTTATCGCAGCGCTGTACCAGCCCCCACCCCTATTGATTCACACACAAATGCACTCGTTGCTGCTGCGATTCTGGCCTTGATCTAGTTTTGGTTGCTGTGACGAGCGTCATTGTTGCCTGGCTAAAAGTCGGTTCACCGCCCGGACACCCTCACCCTCCGCCTCTGCGTATAAATGTCCCCCTCGCCCGCAAATGTCCGTTGGCCCTGCGCACGCTCGGCTCGCAGAGTTGACCTACTTTTTGTGTTGGTTTGGTTTCGTTTCCGGAACTCTCGACGACCGCGACCAGCGTTGACTATGTGTTGCATTTGGCATTTTGGCCCAGCCAGCATGATTTCCTATATTGCGCCTGGTCAGCATCCTGCTGACGTCGTTTGCATCTGCTCTATGTTGGCCTTGGCTACGCACTTCTTTTAAAACGCAGAGTGGCCCAAACCGCATCCAACTTAAGCTACGAATTTCACTTTTTGCTCTGCTGCCTCGCCTGTCACGCCCAAACGCACATGGCTCAACCGCCGCCCCAACTCCTTAACTAATTAAAAAATACCTTCTGTCGCTTTTGGAAAGGGGCGTGGACGGACGTAGCCGTAGGTGGGGGAGCGGTACTTGCGAGTTTCACGCCCTTTGCATATCAATTTTTGCTGTGGCTTTTTTTTCTGTTGAATGCTCTGCCAAAGGCCATTTGAGTTTAGACATGTCGTTTGCATTCTATTCAAATTAAAATTGTTTTATTCTCATTAAACTGTGCGAAGTTATGAAATTTTATTAAGTTTGCTTATATAAATATTGGTTTTTCAGCTGTTTGTTGACATTTGTGAATGCTAATTTAATGTTAGAATTGATACATATTTAAGTTTGTGTATTATTAGAGTAAAAAAAATAAAATTCTTTTCTAGAGTACTTTAAACTTCGTTTCGAAAAATGTTCGACCTCTGTTGTCTATGATTCATGCTTGCATTTCTTTGTTTTTTGACTTTTGTCTGGCTTTTTATTTTACGTTTAACTGTTTACTGTTTTGACTGTCTCTCTAAACTGGTTTTCCAACCAATTTTTTTAGTTATTGTCATTGTTGTTGTCATGTCTTTTGTCACGTTCTGAAGACAGACAAAAAAAAAGTGAGATCTACAAGAGTTGCTATCGACTAAGTTTTCACCTTGTTGCTGAGTAAACTAGCAAAAGTTGCTACGCCCCGCTCCGACCCGCCCCATTCCGCCCGGCCCCACACCTGTTGCGAATTGTAACACGTTTTTGTATAAATATCAGAGCACACCTTCAGTCAGTCAAGAATTTCATTAATTTAATATTATATCCGATTCACCGTTATCTATGTGTACTCTTTATTTGCGAAGACGATAACGAGACTCGATAATTATTGCACGTATCTGGGGTCTCGGAAAGTCTAGTCAAACTAGACCTTCTTAGCCACAGCTAAAAAACATGCAAAATTTATAACATTTGCTTTTTATTAGTCAACTAACAATTGTTGCATTAGCCTTCACACTTGGTTTTAGAGGGGTTTTATTTTAATGATAAACCTGGTCCGCTCAAGGAGTTTGCTTTATGACCAAAAACAGTTCAGACACAATACACATAACAATTATAATAATAATAACAATAATAACAACAATAACAATAGCAGCTGTTGCACATTGAATTGCCCAACTCACAAGCAGCTAATAATATTTTCCATTCTATTAATTTTTCACGCAACATTCGTAATTGTTTTGACCAAAATAATAAAGTGAATGGTAAACACAACGAATTTCGCAAAGACTCTTCAGGGAAGACTTGGCTTATAAAGTCAGTATACGTTACGGTTCTCAGTGCTCTCTGAGCAATTATTTGTTATACATTAATTACTTGTTGAAATTGTTTTGATTTCCTGGTTGTCAAAATTGAAATTGTATTAATGGTTTAACTCGAACAATGCATTAGTCATTGTTCACAACAAGAGTGTGGCACCCTACTGCTATAGCGAAGGCCCCTAATGTTAACTTCTACATACATTTATATAAATATCTAAATAAATATAAATATATAACTCAATGTGTATTACTATTGTAAAATAAATCAAATTATATGTTTATAATTATTTTTATTTATATTCGATGTACAATATATCTAATTATTTTATATTATGTACAAGTCTTATCGCTATACGGCGAACGTATTTTCAAACTATCTTCTTATATGGATGACTAATCTTTCAGACACAAGAATTAAATGGTGAATTGATTAAAATAAAAAAATAAATAAATAACAAAAATTGATAAGATTGATGTTTATAAAAATGTTTATTATGGAAACAAAATGAAAGTGTAGAATAGGATCCTAGAATACACTATATAGGACATATTCAGTTAAATATTGCTTCGCCTGAATCATGTTGTTTAATTCTGTAGTTAAGCATTATAAAAAAAATATAAACCTGATTATATTTAATGTAGGCACCGCTTTATTAGCTTTTTAAGCTAACCCTTACCTTTGCACTGTGCTGGGCGCTTGGCTAGATCAGAGATAACGTGTTTATACAGATGTGCCGCTAGGTGGTCTTATGGGCTGACAGCTTTCTTTGGCTCTGCGCTGGATTCTCGTTTTGTCGCTTTGTTATCCAAACAATAAGCTAGACTAAGATTTATGACAGCCCCAAGGTTGCGCGGTGCGTTCAGCTGATGGGGAGCGTCGCGGCGGGTGTGGAAACTGTTGGAAATCTGTTAGTCGCGAAGGTCTCAACCCTCCAGCGAATGCAGAGACAAAACAAATGACAGTTAGTTAACCATGGAAGCCACTTTTAGGGCTTTCTGCCAGCACATGCTTAGCATTGGTTCTAATATTGTATGATGCACTGACTGTTCCTTCTGTTCTTCTTCTTCTACCGTTGCAGGTTATGGCCGACGTGAGGTGGTTGAGTTTCTGTTGAACAACGGCGCTTCCATACAGGCCTGCGATGAGGGTGGCCTGCATCCGCTGCACAACTGCTGCTCCTTCGGCCATGCGGAGGTGGTGCGGCTGCTGCTGAAGGCTGGCGCCAGCCCGAACACCACCGACAACTGGAACTATACCCCGCTGCATGAGGCGGCCAGCAAGGGCAAAGTGGATGTGTGCCTGGCACTGTTGCAGCATGGCGCCAATCACACCATACGCAATTCGGAGCAGAAGACGCCGCTGGATCTGGCCGACGATGCCACACGGCCAGTGCTGACGGGCGAGTATCGCAAGGACGAGCTGCTCGAGGCGGCTCGCTCGGGTGCCGAGGATCGCCTGCTCGCCCTGCTCACACCCCTCAACGTCAATTGTCATGCGAGCGATGGACGGCGCTCCACGCCGCTGCATCTGGCGGCGGGATACAATCGCATTGGCATTGTCGAAATACTCCTGGCCAATGGGGCCGATGTGCATGCCAAGGATAAGGGCGGCCTGGTGCCGCTACACAATGCCTGCTCCTACGGCCACTTCGATGTCACCAAGCTGCTCATTCAGGCCGGCGCCAATGTCAATGCCAACGATCTGTGGGCGTTCACGCCGCTGCACGAGGCCGCCTCCAAGAGCCGGGTGGAGGTGTGCAGTCTGCTGCTCAGTCGCGGAGCTGATCCAACGCTGCTCAACTGCCAC